CAGCCAGTGCACCGGTAGGCTCATGGCTGCTTACCAGGGAGGTGAGTGGGCTGCTTTGTTTCCCAGTGCCCTAAGTTCCAACATGGCGCTGACCTCGGGAAATACTGGCTGGTTCTCCCTGGGCGGCCGCTGCTTGCACAAGCCAAGGATGCTTACCAGGGAGTCAAGCTTCATGTCAACTTTTTAAGAAGCTGCATACTATTGGAAAATAATAGCTTTCACATCAAGAGGAAGACAGCCAAAATTAATGTGCCTTCGAGGCTTTCGTTGCTGTGGGAAGCAGGTGAGCCCAAAAGCAATCTTTTGCTTTACACTAAGAAGAATATGCATGATGCTCACAATCCATGATAATCCCCAAGGAGGAGAAACCAGGCGCACAAATTCCCAACAGACGGAAAGGAAGAGAAAACCCACACAGGAAGGTGTCACACAAAGTATGACCAGGAATCTGGGTCCTGACTACGTGAGGTCCTGATGCCTCGGGGATCTGGTGGCTCATATCCACGCTGTGCGCCTTTGAGGAAAGATGTCAATCGAGACACACAGACCACTGCATGGAGCACAGGGCGAGCTCACTGCAGAGGAGGGAGATTCAGAGAGAGAGGCAGGGAGAAGCAGGCACCTGGTTACATCCTCGGCAGATGGTTTTCTGGGAGAACTTGGGGTTTCCCAGCCCTCGGCAGTGACCTGGGCCTCATCAGCACCCTCAGAGGAGGGTGCATTCTTGCTATTATAAAATTATTTTCTATTTTACTGTACTACAAGCAGATATTTCAAAAGAAAATATGAAAAGCACTCTTCTTCTAGGAAAAACAAACAACATTGCATAACCAAATAACAAGAGAGCAGCGATGGCTCATGCACGATGTGTAGGGGCCTTACAAGAATGCCCAGTGTTACTCCGCACACTTGTTCACTGAAACAAAAATTTTGTCCTTTTCTTCTTTGTGGGAGAGAATCTTTATTTATTCCTCTTGCTTTTTGTCAGGCACAGCTGTGGAGAAAAAGGACACCATCCGGGGCCCTTGACCTGTTAGTGGTTAAAACCAGGGTGGTGCACACCTGTATTCCCATCCCCTCTGAGAGGCTGAGGCAGGAGAATCACAAGTTCATACCCAGCCTGGTCAGCTTAGCACCTTACCAAGGCCCTGTCTCAAAGTAAAAAAGGTTGGCACTGAAATTCAGTGGGAAGGTCCTGTGTTCAATCCTCAGTTCTACCAAAAAAATAGTAATAATAATAATGACCCACCAGATTGCAGCCCCCACAGCACCCCACAAGATGGTCTCTCTGCTTCCCTCGCCTCACTGCAAGCCCCCTGCTCCCTCTCGGCCTGGGGTCGTTCCTTATCTCCTTTCAGCTTCCCCTTAAGGCTTGTGCCTGAAATAGGCACGCTGTGTCCTGAGTTTTAGTTTCCACTAGTTCTAAAGCAAATCCCCACACTAAGCTGTGACAACAGAATTGTATTTGTCCTGAAGAGGAGGCACTCAGGACCACAGCAAGACAGGCCACGACCGGGACCTGGCCCCATCCCCGGCCCCTGGGGAGGCTCCGGAGCTGCGGGTGGAGTCAGCAGCCAATCGTGCCCGTGATGGGTCCGCAGAGCACTCAGGGGTGCGAAGGCCTGGCCCAGCGGTGTGGGTACAGCAGTGCCTGGCCTTGGATATCATCTCTGGCCTCTTGGGTGCATCTTTTCACCTGTCCTTTATTAAATAATCAACTGGGGTCTCCCCAAGCTCCGTGAGCTGGGCTTACAGATGTCTGGGCCTGAGTCAGAAAAAGTCAGGGCTGGAAGATCAGAAGGGCGGGTAACAACTGGAGATTATCAGCCTGCAAAGTCCGGCTGGTGTGGGGGCCGAGCCCTCAGCCTGGGGGACCCAGGTCCCATCCTCAGCAACTTGGTCAGCTTCAGGATTCTGAAGGAAACTGGGATTGAGCTGAGCTGTGCAGAGTGGATTAGGGGACTCCACTGGGTTCCAAGACGCCTGCACTGGAAACCCCGCACACTGGCTCACTTGGTCACAGATGAGCTGAGTGTGGAGAGAGGACGAAGGAGGAGGAGGAGAAGGAGGAAGAGTAGGAGAAGGAGGAGAAAAAGGAGGAGGAGGAGAAGGAGGAAGAAGAAAAGGAGAAGGAGGAGGAGGAAGAGAAGGAAGAGAAGGAGGAGGAGAAGGAGAAGGAGGAGTTGAAATAAAAGGAGGAGGAGAACAAGAAAAAGAAGAGGAGGAGGAACAGGAAGAGGAAGAAGAAGAGGACAAGGAAGAAGGAGAAGAAGGAGAAGAAGAAGAAGAAGAAGAAATGAGGATTTTTTCCATTATATTACATGTCAGTGAGCAGTTGTGTTTTGTTTTAGCTTTTCTCTCAGTTTTTGTTTTTATTCATACCTGTTTTCAGAACATTATGATTACATTTATTGTGAGGAGTCAGTTTTTGTTTTCCTTTGTTTTTTTGTTTGCAGTCCTGGGAACCGAACTCAGGGCCACGCACTGACGCACATCCCTGGCACTGTTAATTTTTTTTTTTTTTTTTAATGTCGAGACAGTGTCTCACTAACCTACTAAGTTACCCAGGCTGAGATGGAACTTCGGACCCTCCTAGCTGGGCACTGCTCTTACAGGTGTGTGCCACCACACCTGGCTGGCTAGCATTTCAATAAAGATATTTTGTGATGTTTTTCCTCACTAATAAAATGGAAGCCCAACTGTGTAAAATCCAAACATACAACATTATAATAAATATTAAAATTCAGCTTTAATCTGCAATGAATTTTAAGACTTTTTATGCATCTATACTTTATATGGATTTCAATACATTTTAACATTATTTCACTTTTAAATTTAAAACTTTAAAACTGCTTGTTCAATCAATTGTAAGCAGATGTCCTGTGCTCTGGGTGAATGATTTGGGGATGACAGTGCACAGTGTATGTACCATTCTTGCCCCTGACTGATGTGCTTTGAAATTTTGTTGTAGGTTTTTCTTCTCCTTCTTCTTCTCCTTCTTCTTCTCCTTCTTCTTCTCCCTCTCCTTCTCCTTCTCATCCTCCTCCTCCTCCTCCTCCTCCTCCTTCTTCTTCCTCTTATTTCCTTTTAGCCTTGAAATAAAATGGACTTGGAAAAACAAATTTTTAAACTGCTACCATTTTAAACTTCAGCAAATACTTAAAGTCAAATATATAAAATTACAATCAAGGGTGTTTCTGGTTGAAATTTAAAAAAGAGATTTTTAGTAGACACAATTTTTTTGTTTTTCAGTACTGTTTATAACTATTTAATGGTGATTCAAAAATCACTAGCCACTAACATCTCATAGGACCTGGGCGTGTGGACAGTCCTCATACTCCAGCAAGGCCAGGACGGGGCCTTCGGGTCTCATACACTCACCGGGACAGACGGGAACCTGTCCCCTGCCCTGGCTCCAGACCTTTCCCTCAGTGGTCTCCTCTGTCCACAAGGATGCACACAGCGTCACATGCTGACCCACAGCTGGGCACCTGTGGCTGTCCGTGCTCTGAAGAAAGCACAGACATCCCGACACCCCCATGGCACAGTGACACATCTCAGTTAGGTGGAAGCAACTTGTCCAGCCAGGGGCACAGGGGAAGCCCAGGGGAAAGGGAGGGCGGATAAGCAGCAACTGCATTGTCCTGATTTCCAACACTGTAATAAAGTATCCGAGGCTGGGTGATTTGTGAAGCAAAGAGGTGTTTTGCTCACAGCTCTGGAGAACCCCCAACAGGGGCAGGATGGCACAATGCTCCGTGGTCAGGTGGGAGAGACACAATCTGGTGAGACAGGAAGCCAAGGGCAAGGAGGGTGGCTTATGTTGATTTTTGTTTATCGATTTTGCAGTGTTAGGGGTTGAACCCTGTGTCTTCACACTGAGCTACATGACCCATTCTTAATTTTTTAATGAGAGAGGGCCTGCGGAAGTCACTAAGTTGCCCAGGCTAAGCTTACAATCTCCTTGCCTCAGCCTCCAAGATGGCTAGAATTACAGTCTGCATCATCACACTCAGAAAAAGATTGGGTTTCCTATGAGCTGACTCAGATGCCTAGCTAGAGGAGTCCCCTGAGCTTTACTTTAACCCCTCAGGGAAGCTTCCCCAGCCACTTTGCACTGGCTTTATTTGTAAAGGTCCCATTCGATCCTGTCATCACTATGCTGGGACCAGGCGTCCAGCACAGGGACACTCCACATCCAACAGTGGCAGTGCCAGTGATGTCTCGTAAGTGTTCAGATGATGTCTCACAGAGAGACACCGCCATGATACTGCTGTCAAGGCTCTGAGGTCCACCCACAGAGGAGCCATCTCCAAACTCCAGACCTCAGCTGCCACCTTCTGAGCACAGACTTTCAGCTGCACATTTCCTGAGATGAGGCCCCTGGGTCCTGAGTGCCACAGCTGCAGACCCATCCATGGTCTCCGGACTGGGCTTTCTGTTCTTGGACTCCATGGTGCTGGTTGCATTGGGTCTGGGAAGCTGATGGCACTCCCAGCCTGATCCGGCTGCCTTATGACAATCACGCTTTGATGCAGTGCAGTCACACGCTCTCATTTGGCTGTCTCCATGCAAAGGCAGCAGAGACGAGTCTGTGCAGCACACAGCGTCTGCCCGCAAACCCACCTTAATTGCCTGGGGAATTTGCAAGAAGTTTGCTGACCTGAGGTCTAGATTCACATGTGGGCCTCCAACCCCCAGGTCCTCAGCCAGACTGCAGACTCTAGGGTCCAGAGCATAAGCCTGAGAGTGGAGGAGGACCCCAGGCTTCAGACCCAAGCTCTGGACTGTGTGACCCTATTGTACATTGCACCCTCCAGGCCCCTGATTCCAAACAGAATCCCAAACACATGAGAGACACACAGAGATACGTGAGAGATGTGCTGAAGAGACAGTCAGTCAGGCAAAGACAGAGGAGAAAGAGCAGCAGGGACAGCGGGGAGAGCTCAGGGAGAGTCTCCCATGCAGACAATGTTCCTAGAGGTCGAAAGACACTTGAACCAGAGTCAGAGGCTGTTCATTCACTTTCAGTCATTCAACAAGCATTAATGAAGCACCCACTAGGAGCCCAGTGTGGTGCTGGGGGTTTGGGATAAACCAGTGAATGGCACTGGCAAAGACTCTTGTCCTCTTTGTAGCTGAGAGATACAGATGATACAAAAGAGATCCAATAGACAGATCAATTCTGTGATAAACTACACAAGCAATGCTACGTGTTATCAGAATATTGCATATTAATGGAAATCACACACGGTAAGCTAACAAGGGGCCCAGGGTGAGGGAAGTGCCCAGTGTTCAAAGGGGCAAAGTGATCTAAAATCCAGGCAGTGGAAAAGCAAACAGGTCTGTGTACACCGTGGAGGCCTCTTCAGTGTGGAAAGGGGAGGAGGCAGGGTACACACAGGGAGGGTCTCAAGGGCAGGATGCTGAGAGTGTGCTGTAGGGCTTCAGACCCATGGTTCTCCGAATGACCAGTGATGGGAGGGGACAGCTCAGCAGCTGCAGGACCAAGTGGGCAGAGTTTGTGCAGGTGATGGACAGCTCCATATTTCAATGGCCATGTGTGTGTGTGTGTGTGTGTGTGTGTGTGTGTGTTCCATGCAACATATGTCAGAATTTGCAGAACCATGGGACTGGCAGATCTCCGGGAGAGAAAAGTACACTGTGTGTGGTGCTACCTATAATCCTGGCACTTGGGGAGACTGAGGCAGGAGGATCTCCAGACTGAGCCCAGCTCGAACTTTGTAACTTAATGAGACTTGGATTCAAAATAGTAAAATAAAAAAGCTGGAGCTCAGTGAGAAGTTGCTGAATACCATACCTCGTCACACACACACACACACACACACACACACACACAGATTATCTTGATTTTATACACATTTGCTTAGTTAAATGTAGATTTAATACACAGGAAAGAGTTTCAAGGCAAAGAATCCAAGTCAGAAAGTGGATGAGGGAAGAAGGCCAAGGGTAGCAAGGGCACTGGGTTGGAGGAGACGGAGCTGAGAGACAGAGGCCCAGAGAGGCAGAGAGACTGTCCAGGGGTGGTCCTTTGTTTGAGGGGTGCCCCCTGAGGACCCCTACTCCATGTGTGCTGACCCCATGAGAACCTGGACAGGTGCAGGGTGCATCCAGAGAAACGCTGCCTTCAGGCTGTTCTGCTTCAGCCAGCCCCAGGGCGGGTCAGCCTCCATTCTGGATCCTCCTAAGACTCTCAGGCTCTGCACAGAGCAGCCCGCAGGGTCCAGCCCGGCGCAGCACAGCCGAGCCCTGAGACCCTGGGAGCTGGAGCCAGGTGAACGGCCCTGCGCCCTCCCAACCCCAGCCTAGCTATGTGTTTCCTGCCCTTTGAGTCCCAGCCTCTCTCTTGTCGCTGTTCTGTGGAGTGTGTCTCCCTCTGGGCCCTGGACCATTTCCTGACTCAGGGCAATGAGGGTTTTGAGATCCTCCAGCCTCCGAGTACTGGGATCACAGGTTGCGCCACTGGACCTGGGCTCAGGGAGGATTAAGAGTGCAGACTCCTGGGCCTTCACCCCTTGTGACTCAGCCTGGCTGTCTTTCTGTCTGTCTGTCCACCGCTCTGTGGAATGGGGATAATAACTGGACTGGCCACAGGAGACGGTTGTGTAAGTGAGTCACCATGTGTCCTATGCTTTATGCAGGGCCTGGGCGCACGGCCGCACCCAGAGCCTCTCAGCTGAGGACACCTCCGGCTCAAACTCAGTGTCCTTAGAGTCAGGACCCTGACATTTCTGTGTCTGGTCCCCATGTTCCCTGCTCCAGGGTTCAGCCTCAGCCTCAGGTTCTCTGTGTCCTCTACCTGATGTTGTTCCCCAGTCTCCCTGCCTCTCTCTCTCCTCACAGAGACAGCGCACACTGTCTTCCCCCAGGACCTGCATGCTGAATGGGCTTTGTCATTGTCCCTGCTGAGGGGGAAGGGAGCTACTGGCCTGGCGTGTAAAGCACCCTGCAATGCCCAGCACGGAGGCTCAGTGCCCAGCAGTCAATAGAGGGCGGAGGACAGCTCAGCGGCACTGAGCCCATCCCCAGCAGCTCACAGAGAGGAATCAGCAGTGCAGAGCGTGAGGAACTCTGCCGTATGCTACGGTTTCTTGACCAGGGTCTCGGCGTCCAGGCTGGATGGGGACCTTTCTGGCTGCTACTGGAAGGGAGGAAGGGGCTCCAGATCCACCTAATCACCTCCCCAGCAGGTGCCAATTTGTTGGAGGGGCAGGCCTGTCCCTGCCTGCCCACCACACTAGAGACTGATGGCCTGGTTTTCTTAAGGCGCAGCCCCCCAGGTCGCCCCTTGGCTCTCTGTGTCTTCACTGTCTTGGCATCTTGGCAGGGTCTGAGCTTTGTCTCCCCATTGCCTCTGCCTCTCACACCCATGTGTCTGGAACCCGCTGCTCTGTCCCCCTCTGTCCCTCTGGGCTCTCCACGCTGCCCCTGGCTCCTGCACTGTGTTTTTCCGCCCTGCTCTCACTCTGCCTGTCTCTGTGCTTCTGGCTTTCTGTGTGTGTCTCCTCCACCCTCCTCCCACTCTGCCTAACTTGTTCTTCTCTTCCCTCCACAGGGAGACTCTGGAGGCCCCGTGGTCTGCAATGGGCTTCTGCAGGGCCTTGTGTCCTGGGGACTCCCTCCCTGTGCCCGACCTGGAATTCCCAGTGCCTACACCAATCTATGCAAATTCAAACAGTGGATTGATAATATTATCCAGGGCACAGAACCATAGATGACAGTTTTTGGGGAGAGCAATGGGAATTGAACTCAGGACCATGCCATGCAGGTGCCTGTGCAGCTGAGCTATATCCCTGGCCCCCCCATGGATGACTCTGAGACCAAGAATCCAGCACCACTTTCCAAAAGTACCCATAGGCTCCAGCCTCCAGCCCCTCTTCCTTCAGATGCAGGGGCCTACACCCCAGCCCCCTTTCACACACCCACGTGCTCTAGGCCAGGTCTCCTCCTTCAGACCAGGGGGTGCAGGCCCCAGCAGCAGCCCACACCCACAAATAGTTCCCCTCTTCACAAGTGAAGACCAGTGATTTCCGGAAGCAGCTGCCTCAGGAAGACAAGACATGCAAAGATGCTTTTCAGCCTTCTTTTCTCTCTCTCCCTATAAAGAGAGTTATGGACTCCAGTGGTCTGTCTGCGTGGCTCACACTCTATTCTGAGGCCGTCCAGGAGATCCTTCAAGGGGGACAGAGGTCTTGGGCAGCCCGAGGTGACATATTACAGTGCAGAACTGTACAGGGTCACATGAACACACCCACTAACTTAGGGGCTAACTCTCAACTGTGCATCCCGGTAATGTGCTCTCACACGTGTGTTAAATGCGTGCTCTGCAGTGGATAAGTGCTCTGTGAGTATTTACAGCTCAGATTCTGTACATGAGACTGAGCCATAGGAATCCCGTCACTGGTGCTATCAGGAAGACCAGTGGCTTCTGTGTGACCACAGACCTCTCACTTGCAAGCTGCCTCCTCCTAACCTTAAGTTCGCTCCTGGAACAATTTCAGAGTTGAGCAAATCAGCAACAGAGGGGAGGTCCCTTTCTCAAGGTCCTAGCATTGTAAGGGACCCGGGGCTGGGGGCACAGCGCAGTGGTATCCCATCATCTGTGTTCAGTGCCCGCCCCTGCGAGGAAGATAAGCAGGACTCTACGGGGCCCCCAGCCTGTCGGCCAGCTCCACGCTGCATGAGGCCCATCCCCACACAGGGGTCCCTTGGCTGTCTTGGGCCACTCCTAATCTACAGTCCTCCTCCTCACCTTAGGTATTTTGCAGAGCAGAACTGTGACCTGACCGCCATCTCAGGCATGACTCAGCTTCCCCCACAGCTTTGTCCATCAGATGCTAACGGGGACTGGACTTGGAGGACAAAATCTCTTCAGCCTCAACAGACCTGCTCTCTAATGTCACCCTCTAGCTGGAGAGAAGCCTTAGTCACACAGCAGATTCCCACATGCACAAACGCTTCGGGGCGCCCCCTGTCCACTGCTCTGTGCATGGTTTCATAAAGCCATGGGGACAGATCTGGGATGTGTCAATGTCTGATGGGACAGTGCTGTCATCCTACCTACGGTGATGTGTCACTGTTGAAAACTCATCACAGTGACACACCCACTGCCAGGACCCTCCTCAGAATGCTTCGGCCTCTCTGCACACCCCTGCCGCTGTGCTGGCCCCTGTGTGAGGCCGTTCTGGAGCCCTCTCCCGAGTCTTCAGCAGCGTCGTCAACAGCACAGTGCATGCTGCTGCTGCCAAGTGGCACCGAGGGAAAGGCGGGCTCAGGGAGACGTGCTGGTGTGTCCTTGTCCTCCTCCTTTAGCTGACCTGGGACGGAGAGACTTCTGGCTCCTCCCTGAAGTTAAAATAATGATTAAAAGTCAGTGTTTGAATTGATTCAAGGCATGGAGGCAGCCATGAAGTTAGAAATAAAGAAGACATGGGCGGAGGACTTCCTGGCCTGCGTCAGGAAGTGTCCCGAACAGTGGGATGAGTGGGTTTGATTCAAAGGCAGAATGGTTTTGACAAGAGTTAACGGCAATGTTTCTTCTACTGGATACACTTGAAAATTAACATGTTCATCTTGGTTTAAATCACAGCTCGAATCTTCGCTAATGAACCATTATTTTCATCTATCATAAACCTCCATTGGGCCTTACTGAATCTGCTTTAGCAACTTATCAAGATGATATAGGCCTTTCTATTCAGTTTCATTAAGAAGGAAAGTGGAGCTTCCAAGTGTCAAAATGTGTTTTTGGGCATAAAATGTGGTGACATCCTTGTGCTCCTGGGACATCTGCTGCATGGTGGGGTTACCAGTGTACTCAGCCCTGATTACCATGGTGGACAGTGGCCGCCCAGGGGCCAGCTCAGTGGCTGAAGCAGTGTAGTTCACAATGGCTGACATCACGCTTCAGGGACAGGGCAGGTGGAACATCTCCTCCTCACCGCCCACTGTCACCCCAACAAGTGAGGATGTGGGGTTTAGCCGCTCTTGGGTAGTTACAGAGGTCGAGGCAGCTGAAGATGGCACAGAGGTAGACATGAGCTGCAGGCAGAAGCTGAGGCAGATCAGAGGACTGGAGGCAGGAGAGAAAGAAGGAGAGATGGGAAAGGTCTGCTAGAGGGAGCAGAACTGAGGGAAAGGAGACCCAAAAGCCTGAAAGAATAAGAACCATCCTCCCAGAGAAACCTAGGCAATGAGAGACAGAGACAGGGCATGCGGTATGCAAAATGCACCAGCAGGGGGCAGTGTATATAAAGACATTTCCAAAAAAACGTTCTTTAGAAAAGAACCCAAGGAGTTAAAAACAGAAACGATACATCCAAAACACAAACTAGCAGCTGATAATAAAGGAGATAGGGCAGAAACTCAGGGTAAGGGGAGATAGAGAAAGGGAAAGAAGGTGAACACACACACACACACACACACACACACACACACACACACTTCTGCGATGCCATCCAGCGGAATCTGAGTGCTTGGCTGTGAGAACCAGAGCTGCGGGCTTCGCAGTGGCCCTGTGCTGAGGAAGGGAACATTAATACACTTGGAGTCTGACTTAGACAAAGACCATACTTTCCTTCCTCTCCCTCTTTGCTCCCCAGTGCCACTGAGCAGGAAGAGCTGTGTAACAGGACACTCATTCCTGGGCCTCTGGAGACAGAAAGCTCAGCAGCACCTCGGAGAGGGAGCCAGGAGGGTCACCCACCCCAGCCACATTTGAAAAGTGAGGGTCAAGGAAGGAGACAGGGAAGCCCAGTTACTAAGGGAGACAGATAGACAGACAGACAGAAACAGGCATGGACAGACACGAAGAGGCCACACACAGGGGATAGCAGAGGTAGGCAAAGAGGCAGGAAGGGGATGGGAACAGAGGCAGGGAGAGTCAGGCCTGGGGCAGGGCTGGGTGGGGAGGCCGGGACCTCAGACACAGGAGGCAGAGAGAGTTACAGACCTCTCGTCCTGCAGGATTCAGGCATCCTGGGGAGCATGTCCAGCCCAGGCCTTCCCACACCGGGGACAGGGGACACAGTGGCAGGGTTGCAGCGGGCTTCCACGCAGACTCCTCCGAGTATCCATGCCCAGTGGTGCTTGTTAAGGTGCCGGGTGCTGGAGCAGGGGAAGGAGAAGGGCCTGGCTCTCCCCCTTCTCCTGTGATGGCCAGAGAAGGGTGTGGCCAGCAGCTGTCCTGCCACTCTCCCTGGTTTCCTTTTCCCCCTCTTGGTCCCCTGAGGGTGGACCGAGACAGCCTATCTCAGTGCCCTGCTGTCAACTCTACCGTTATTCTGCAGCTGCTTTCAGGGCCACCCTGACAGGAGGCGCAGCTTGGTTGTCACCCACAATGCCACTCTCCTACTTCCACCACCCCAGCTGCTGCTGCCACCTCTGAAGAAGTGGTCAGGAAAGCTCCTCTAGTGTGGAAAGGCTGGGACCATTATCTTTGGTCCTCAGTAAGTCGAGATCTTCACAGCGAGCTCCCCCACCCCGCTGCACAGTATCAGCCCTGCCATTTTTGCTGTCCATGTCACCAGGGCGATGTTTGTGGGTGCCCTGCACTGGTCCAGGAGATATCTGTTCTGAACACATTTGCCTTGAATTGAAACTTAGCAGTAAAACCAAACTGGAACCAAACAGTGTTCTCAGATCAGGGACTTGAATGTGGACCAGTATGGACCAATCAACAAGCCCAAATTTGGACCAATCAGAGGCCTGAATTTGGACAAATTGGCAGGCCGGAATTCACATTGAGCAACTGGATCAAATCCGGACCAATTAGATACTTTAATTTCAACCAATCAGCAGGCGCAAATTGGACCAAAAACGGAGCAAAGCTGTTTAACACTGGCCGCTCACTTCTGAGGTTCCTTTGAAGGGTTCGATTTTGTGCACCAAACCTGTCATGCTGCAGGACAGGTGTCATTCAAATCAAATTTTCCCTGGCCATCCTGTAAATCTCAGGATTCTTACCCCAAGAACTGTGGACAAAGGCCTGTTTTGCAGACGCTATCAACACTTGGGTCTGTTAGCCCACAAGAACTGCAGAGGCAGGCAGCAAAGCAGAGCAGTGACAGAGACTGGACACCCACAGCGTTGGCTGGCAGTGACCAACCATGGCCAGAAGTGGTGGTAACCAGCGGGGCTGTGGGCTTTGATGGCAGCAGCAGCAATCAGCCGCCTGGGGCACTGAGGTGCAGCTCTAAGCACTGACACCCATGAGGCCCACAGACCTGCACGGTGCAAGGGGTGTGGTTTCTATGCAAATTGCACAGCAATACTCTCAACTGATTGGTGAATCTAGACCCAAAAAAGGAGAACCCTGCCCAGGCCCCGGCCGCTCCCTGACGGCTGCCTCTGCCTTTCTGAGGTTCCAGGAGTGCAAGTTCTCCTGGAGCTCTTACAGATCTGATCTCCCCAACATCTCCAGGCCACCCCCTTGCCCTTCTGTCTCCTTCCTGTCCTCATTGTGCTTTTCCCTGCTCCGCACTGTCTATTCAGTTGTGTTCTGGGCATCTGTCTGGCGGGCGTGACTGCATGGTTGCCTGGCACAGATTTTCATTGTCACTCTCTGGTCCTCATGGGCACAGCATGAAGCCAGCTGCCCTCCTTTGTGATAGAACTGTGGGGGACCAGCGGCGGCTGAAAAGATAAGAAGTGTGAAATATAAATGACCTTTATTTTGAGAATGCGGGCAGAGACACCCCCCAAGCCCCTGGGGCACAGCATCTCCCACCGTCCTCCACAATCTCTCTGTAGAACACGTGGAGTGGAGGCATATAAGTAGCCTAGGTTTGGGGTGGAACCTAAGGGGCATTAGTGATGCACAGGTAGCCCATTGGTATTCTTTTGGCACCAGAGGTAAATTCCTAGGGGTGGGGGAGATGGAGCTCCTTGGCCTGAGGCTTTATCCGCTACAGTGTCCTGTTTGGGCCAAAACTCTTTCATATCCCGTCTTATGTTGGGGGTTGCCCGAGCCGCTCCCCTAAGGTGGCGCCCATTTCCTGCTTCTGGGTCCCTGTTGCCGCGCAAACAGCCCTGTCAAAATGAGTGTCTACCTAGCTACCAGTGACTGTGGCCTATCAGCATGCGACTTCTGCTTTGTATTGATTGGTTACTCAGATCCTATATAAGTGTGTGTTTCTGCCCCCAACGGGCAGAAGAGGAAGAAACTTGAGGGTGGCAGATCTTGTCAGATCCGGTTTTGTTGTACACAATAAATATTGAGAGCTGATCCAAACACAGTTACGTCTTTCGTTGCCCGCGGCGCCGTATAACTGGTGGCCCGTACGGGGACTAATTTATTCGACCGCTGCACTCTCTCCGGCCAAGGGACGCGGCGGGCGTGACCTCCATCGCGATCTGTGAGTAAAGGAAGATCTGGTCTAATAACAGCGGAGGACTGGGAGCGCCTCTTCTCAACACCCTGGTCAGCTACGCACGATACAGCGGATAAATACCTAGGTCAGGTGAGTACTGGGTCACCTGGGTCGGGTGGACGCGCCCGATAAGCTCTGAGGCGTCTCACACATAGACGCCGCTGTTAATATTCTCTAGCTCGCTTGCCTTCCTTACTTTCACTTTCGACGCCATGGGCAACGCTGCCCGTAAACCCCTCGCTGCTTCATTGAGAATTCTGTTAAGATCCCGAGGCATCCAGATTAGCCGGGATATCGTGTCTCGCTTCCTGGATCACCTCAATGACTTGGCACCTTGGTTCTGGCCTACGGGTTCCCTGACTCTTCCTTCCTGGAAAAAATTGGGCAAGGATTTGTTACGTGCAAAGGAGGGGGGTAATTTGGACCCAATGGTCATGCCCCTATGGGAGCTAGTTAGGACCTGCTTAGCGGATGAGGACGCCCCCGGGCTACACTCAACCAGACAGACTTTTGACAGGGCCCGTTCCGAATGTTCTGAGGAGCTAGATCCACCACTTAAACCTGCCCCAGAGCTCTATGATAGCTCTGAGGACTCGGGGTCGGATTCGGATGACCCAGATGATGTCGCGGCCCTTGACACTAAGGAAATTGTTAAAGATACCAAACATGGGCCGAGAAAATCGATGCCTTCCTGTCCCGGGTACACTGACTTACAACAGGAGTTGAGATTCCTTCAGCCCTATGAGGCCTTACAGCCTGCAATTGCCCCCTTGGGGGCACCGTGGCCCACTGCACCGCCGTGGCAGGGGGAGGAGTTACTTCCCGGACTGCCACCCCCACCTGTGACCGGTGGGGGGCGCTCTTTTCATCAGAGAGTCTGGTCACGCCTACCCTTTGACTGTTCCGGTCTTCATGCCTTCCCTGTTCAAATAGGGGGCAGAGGAGGAGGGGGATATTACGAACCTTTAGAGATAAAGC